TTATGAATGAGCAACATCTGAGCAATAAAATATCTCTCATGGCCAAAAAAAAGAAAAGAACATATCTATCCAGCTTTCTCCTTTTAAGTTTGGTTTATACATGCACTGATGCACTCAGACTGCATCTGAAACTGATTAAATATTCTCATTTTTTTAATTCAGCGGGAACTTCTGTTTTGAGTTTTGAAACTCATAGTATGCTTTATATTAGCCTATCAAGCTCTTTTGTCTCAAAAGTAAACAGTGATCCTCTATTTTTAGAGATTTTAGATTTAGTTTTCTTAAAAAGCATGCAATGGAAAAAACAGCATATATAAATGGAGTAAATAACAGATTTTATATTTTTGAGTGAACTTTTCCTATCTTATTTTAAACTAATCATACTCTTAGATTTGTGTATGGAGGGGAGATATAATGAGATAAGACGTCCTTCACACCATTTGCTTAGTTATTTCTAAAGGTGCCAAAACAACAGAGAGACTGTTAAATTGCCAATTATGCTACTTGCTTCATTTATTTATGTAGTGTTTATCCATTTATCCTTTCAAAACAAGGATACCGACGTTTTCACAGTTGCTAAGCGAAAAACCCAAACAAATAAGCATCTGGATAATTGCAATTGACCTCAAAAGTCGCTCATTGCAGTCTTTCTCAAATAAAGTATCCAAATAAAGTTTAGTCTTCTCCAGCTCAAGGATTTTTTTTGTTTGTTTTTCAGATGTGCCTCTCCACAGCTTAAAGCCGTTTTGTGATCTAAAATCCATCTATCTGCAACTAAACGTCAAGATTATAACAAAAAGTTTAGGATAGGAGCTATGATTGAATATGACTTGAAGTTTTAACAACAATCTAGTAAGATAAATGATCATCTGTTAATGATTTAAATAGTTATCTTGTGTCAGCTGGCAGCAAGGGGTCGGCAAGTCCGCAACTAATTTTCATGATGGATGGTGGATTTCAATTACCCTTAATCTGTAATTAAAGTGAGAAGAGGCAGCCAATGGCTGTGATTTATTACATCAGAAATCTCCAAGACACAATCGGGATAGCAATCTATAATTGTATAATTGAGAAGAGTCGCTCGCCTTATCCGCCCCCAAACCTGGAAACGTGGAAGAACGAACTGAAACAAATTTAAAGTCCGAGTTCCACAAAGAACTTTTTATGCTCTAGTCTTCGAGAAAGCATCATCAACCAGTTCTTTAAAGCAGCGGTATGTGTTTTTTTGTTTTTACCCTGAAATATCAGTTTCATTCTGATTCTGATTTCTAATAAGGCAAATGGCTTTGGGTTCTTTCCCATGCTGACGAAAATACAGAAATCACACTCTGAGTAGGAATTCTTTTGAATAAGTTTCTTAACGACTGTTAAAAAGTAGTGATAGGCACTTTTTAACATTGCTTCATGAAGCTTTGAAACTTTTGCGAATCATTTGTTTCGAACTAGACATTCAGAGTGTGTATCGAACTGGCATAGTCACATAATTTCAGTAAACATAGCTTTATGTCATAACTGTTTCGAAACATTTCGAAATTACAGTGGTTTGCTGCTAGGGGGCGATCTATGTTAACCCATAAATTTAATAAATGTGTAGACATTTTAATGACACAAAAAGGAAGAGTTGTAGAAAATAGTCTTACTTGGCCTTACTGCTCTGCATAAAAGAAGCAAAGCTATTTTTAGGGGTGTTTACACAATACCTAAAAACGGAAAACTTTTTGTGTTTTCACCATTCATTCACACAACAATGGCGTTTTGGGGCGCTAACTACTAAAACGTGAATTTGTGAAAAGGGTGACTGAATCAGTAGGTAATAGGTATGTGTAGTCAATAGGTATAGTCAATAGGTATGTGCGCAAGCACTAGTGTTTCTTTACAAAGTGACATCGCCACCTACTGGTTTGGCATGCATAATACAGCATTTTTAGTCATTTTCATGTGAACAGGGATTGTTTTACCAATGTTGTCTGTATGTAAAGCTTTTCAAAAAAACAAAGGAAAAACTTTAACGTTTTTAGAACATCACTGTCATGTAAACACCCTTAATTGGCTGAAATTGTAGGTCATCCTGAATTTGGACATATATACTCTGTTCATATTCTATATGGTAGGCTATGTATGCGATTTTGGATGCAGCCCATGTGTACAGCTATAATACTTATATACCTAATAATATAATATACCTAATAATATATATTATAATACTTAACTGTAGGGGGCTCTAAAGGCGCAAAAATACACCTATAAAGAACCCATAAACCAAAAATATGTTACATAAACTTTTTCGCTCTGCAGAACCTCATGAACTCTGTACAGTGAAAAATGAGGTTGCAATGAGCCATTATATAAGAGTGTGAAGCACATTTCATGAAGCTTTATGCCTTTGCAATTCTTTATTCAAATGTTCACACCGTACCTAACGACACGGAAGTTGAAGAATGAAGAATGTGGAGGTTTTTCAATACCGCAGCCAAATTTGGAACATTTCTAAGTGCATACATACGATGTTTTGCCAGGTTTGGGATATCTAGCTCCCAGCAGGCACTGAAGATTTGCAGTGATGTCAAATGATGTCAAGCCACTGGCTTATTTCACCAAGGTGTTCTACCAAGTGCTACTGGGAATCTGTTCTGCCTGCTGTCATCAGACTGTACAACACCTCCTCATCTTCCTCCTGCGCTGACTGTCCTCACAGCAGTCTGGGCTGCTTCCCCAGTCACGATTAATGACTGTCTCTGCGCCGAGTGTTTGTGCAGTTGAGGACTGAGCGCTTCACAATCATGCTGCTGTTTATGCATGAAATTTCCCCTTGGGGTTCAGTGAAGTCCAATTGAGTCTAGTGAATCACTTTGTTTGGGCATGAATTGATTCGCTGAATGTTTTTGCCTTTTTACACTGAATTTCTGTTTTACAGTTTTGACTGGATGGACTGAAGTGTGAAATATGAACGAACGGACATGAACGAACAATCTCAACTAAACATCTCCAAATAAGGTGACAGCATTAAACTTGAACATATTTACTATTGAACATATTCAGTATTAAGCAAGAAATTTATAATGTTCAAAATATTCTATTTTAAATAAATGCTGTTCTTTAGAACTTTCTATTCATCAAAGAATCCTGGAAATAAAATATCACGGTTTCCACAAAACATATTGAATATTAAGTTACATCAGTAGCAAATCAACATATTAGAATGATTTCTGAAGGATCATGGAACATTGATGACTATAGTAATAATGCAGAAAATTCAGCTTTGCATCATAGATATGTTACATTTTAAAATATAATCAAATAAAAAAAAATGTATTTTAAAATCTACTAATATTTCTCAATATTACTGTTTTTACTGTATTTGTGATCAAATAAATGCAGCCTTGGTGAGCAAAAGAGACTTATGCTTACCGACCCCAAACTTTTTAACCCTAGTGTATGTTTACACCAATTACAACCTTAAACTAGAAACACTACACATTTAGAAATCATATAAATGCATAACATTTCAGCATTAAAAAACCTAAAATGCCACTTGAATCAGTGAATCAGTTCATGTGTGAACATACTGATTCAGTAGATTGATTCAGACTTTCCACTGCAGCTTATGACAATGATAAGTAATTTGACTTTAATGCAATAAAATGTGACAACAAAAACCTTGCTACACTACTGTTTGTTGGAAAACAAATAGCTTGTTAATGCAATTCTAATGTAAACCAACAGCTAGAAACACCATAACAACAGACATCTAGAAGTGAATAAAATAAAGACAAAAAGTATCTTCACCACTCAATTTCAAATCATTACAATACAGGCTCCCATTAAACTTCATTAGCTTCTTGGGGAAATTAAAAAATCATGAAACTATAAAATAACTGGCAGTATCTTGCAGCTAGAAATCTAGTTTATGCGAAAACAAAAGAGCGCTAGTGAATATAATGACTCTATAATGGCACTTTAATGACAATCAATACCATTGCCCAACATGACCCATTCATCTCAGAGGAGCGAGATGAGTCTGAGGAGACTTTCATTAGTTACACACAGCTAAAATACATTACAACACTTACCTGTTCTTAATTAAAAAATGTTCATGCATTCTGTCATAATGCATAATATAGGTTAATAATAAAAGATATCACATCGTGATAATACATTATGTATAGTAAGAGATGATTAAAACCTTCACTGGTCAAATATTGGAATAATTAAGATTTTTTGTGTGTTTTTGAAAGAAGTCTTCTATTCTCTTCAAGGCTGCTTTTATGTAATCAAAAATGCAGTAATATTGTGAAATATTATTTCAATTTAAAATAACTGCTTTTTAACGTATGTTAAAATGTAATTTATTCCTGTGATCCACTGAAATGGCAGTGACTTCTAAACAATCCAGACAACTCACAATCCAACTTGTGTCAGAGGTACTGAGTGATTCCCCTGATTTAAAATGAATATTATATTTGTTAATATTAGAATTCATCAGTATTTATTTGTGATTGTGATTACAATTAAAAATCTATTTTAATAGTTATTAAAATGTAATTTATTGCTGTGTTCAAAGCTGTTTTTTTAGCATCATTACTCCAGTCTTCAGTGTCACATGGTGTATCACAGTTTCCACTAAAATATTGATCAGCACAACTGTTTTAAAGGGGCCATCGGATGCGACATGCACTTTTACAAGCAGACTGTACAACACCTCCTCATCTTCCTCCTGCGCTGACTGTCCTCACAGCAGTCTGGGCTGCTTCCCCAGTCACGATTAATGACTGTCTCTGCGCCGAGTGTTTGTGCAGTTGAGGACTGAGCGCTTCACAATCATGCTGCTGTTTATGCATGAAATTTCCCCTTGGGGTTCAGTGAAGTCCAATTGAGTCTAGTGAATCACTTTGTTTGGGCATGAATTGATTCGCTGAATGTTTTTGCCTTTTTACACTGAATTTCTGTTTTACAGTTTTGACTGGATGGACTGAAGTGTGAAATATGAACGAACGGACATGAACGAACAATCTCAACTAAACATCTCCAAATAAGGTGACAGCATTAAACTTGAACATATTTACTATTGAACATATTCAGTATTAAGCAAGAAATTTATAATGTTCAAAATATTCTATTTTAAATAAATGCTGTTCTTTAGAACTTTCTATTCATCAAAGAATCCTGGAAATAAAATATCACGGTTTCCACAAAACATATTGAATATTAAGTTACATCAGTAGCAAATCAACATATTAGAATGATTTCTGAAGGATCATGGAACATTGATGACTATAGTAATAATGCAGAAAATTCAGCTTTGCATCATAGATATGTTACATTTTAAAATATAATCAAATAAAAAAAAATGTATTTTAAAATCTACTAATATTTCTCAATATTACTGTTTTTACTGTATTTGTGATCAAATAAATGCAGCCTTGGTGAGCAAAAGAGACTTATGCTTACCGACCCCAAACTTTTTAACCCTAGTGTATGTTTACACCAATTACAACCTTAAACTAGAAACACTACACATTTAGAAATCATATAAATGCATAACATTTCAGCATTAAAAAACCTAAAATGCCACTTGAATCAGTGAATCAGTTCATGTGTGAACATACTGATTCAGTAGATTGATTCAGACTTTCCACTGCAGCTTATGACAATGATAAGTAATTTGACTTTAATGCAATAAAATGTGACAACAAAAACCTTGCTACACTACTGTTTGTTGGAAAACAAATAGCTTGTTAATGCAATTCTAATGTAAACCAACAGCTAGAAACACCATAACAACAGACATCTAGAAGTGAATAAAATAAAGACAAAAAGTATCTTCACCACTCAATTTCAAATCATTACAATACAGGCTCCCATTAAACTTCATTAGCTTCTTGGGGAAATTAAAAAATCATGAAACTATAAAATAACTGGCAGTATCTTGCAGCTAGAAATCTAGTTTATGCGAAAACAAAAGAGCGCTAGTGAATATAATGACTCTATAATGGCACTTTAATGACAATCAATACCATTGCCCAACATGACCCATTCATCTCAGAGGAGCGAGATGAGTCTTTCATTAGTTTCATTAGTTACACACAGCTAAAATACATTACAACACTTACCTGTTCTTAATTAAAAAAATTCTGTCATTTCTGTCATAATGCATAATATAGGTTAATAATAAAAGATATCACATCGTGATAATACATTATGTATAGTAAGAGATGATTAAAACCTTCACTGGTCAAATATTGGAATAATTAAGATTTTTTGTGTGTTTTTGAAAGAAGTCTTCTATTCTCTTCAAGGCTGCTTTTATGTAATCAAAAATGCAGTAATATTGTGAAATATTATTTCAATTTAAAATAACTGCTTTTTAACGTATGTTAAAATGTAATTTATTCCTGTGATCCAAAGCTGTTTTTTTAGCATCATTACTCCAGTCTTCAGTGTCACATGGTGTATCACAGTTTCCACTAAAATATTGATCAGCACAACTGTTTTAAAGGGGCCATCGGATGCGACATGCACTTTTACAAGTTGTTTGAACTGAAATGTGTGTTGGCAGTGTGTACACATTTTTTTTTAAATCTCGTTAAATCATTTCCCCTTTCTCAAATCAAGCTGTTCTCAGCTTCTTGGCTGTGTGATGTCACACAGACCCAGGCCCCTCCCACGATTGTTGATTGACACTAGTGTTTTACCTTAGACCCGCCCTGAGTGAGCTGTCATCAATCTGCCATGGACCTTTTTCACATTTCCGGGTTTCTCAGCAGCGGAAGTCGTCATAAGGCGAGTTTTTTTTTTATTTTTTTTTTACCTTTATTTATATAGCGCTTTTAACAATACACTTTTTACATACCCCATGTGACCTGTAAATGCGAAAATCCCATTTCCATTGCAGTTTTGTGAATTATTCCTTTTTCGCATTGCCTGAAAAACCACCTCATGCGCGCATAAAAACTTTTTTGCGATATATGGGCGTTTTGCAGTGTTATAAATGTACATATATTTAAAAAAAAAAAATACAAATATGAAAAACTTTCGAGGATTTACGATGATGATGACCGTTAAACATGTCATCACAGTCTTGTGAAAAAGGTGATGTAATAATGAACATAGCAGTCGTCATTTACTCCCGACATCTGAGCCACAGAAGACGCAGTGGATTACCTTTGTTTTTGAAGAGAATGCGCCCCGATCTACCAAAATGTGTTTATGTTCGCGTGAGTCATTCGTGATCCAGCCTCACCTACAGAAGAAGTTAGTATAAGGTTCTTTTATAAATCTTTGCAAATCACCTTTCCTAATAACATGATAGTTAGCAAGTTCCGCAGCTAAAGTAAACAGTCTCATGAGAATGGCTCGTCACCTCACGGAACCTCAGAGAGGCGGGATCAGCAGAGCTCATTAGCATTTAAAGGAACATGCACTAAAATAGGTAGCTGAAAACAGGGTTGTTTTTGACAAGGTAAAAGGGTGTTGTTTTACACTACCATTGAGAAATTTCAACCAAAGTATGTTATAGACTTTTCATTAAGACCCTAAAGAATCATATCAACTTGTGGAAAATGGGCATCCCTTTAAACATTTATAATAATAATAAATGGTTCTTGCGCAGCAAATCAGCATATTAGAATGATTTCTGAAGGATCATGTGACACTGAAGACTGGAGTAATGTTGCTGAAAATTCAGCTTTGCATCGCAGAAATAAACTACATTTTAACAACATGTATTCAAATAGAAACAGTTATTTTAAATCATAATAATAATTCACAATATTGCAATATTTTTGGTGAGCAAAAAAGACTTCTTTTAAAAACGTTTGACTCGTAGTGTATATAGCAGATGGAACCAATGAAAAAAAAAAAGATGCATCCTAAACTGTGAGACAGGTGTGTAATCACATACAGCAGACTAAAATATTTAGAGATTTGGAGCCTTTTAAAATCATATCTGGTTCTCTGAGCTCAAAGGCCAGATATAATACCAGGTAAACCCTTTTGATGGCCACATAATGCCGGATGTGTGGCATTACATCTATTTCAGCTCAATCCATTTAACCGGGCAGTGTTAAATGTCATGGTTTATGAACATGACATATCTGCTCATTTTATGTTTATGTGATGGCTCATAATAGTAAAAGATCTTCCCAAAGTCATTTGCGTTATAATGACTGCAGACCTTTGTCCCCCTGCTGTTCTCGAGGTAAAACAATTGTGTACACGTGCTGTGACTGGCGTACACTGATTATAGCCATATTTTCAAATACCTTCTTTTTCACTGTGATTAATTTTAGAGCTGACTGTTTCCATGGAGATATTCAAATGACTTGACATTGATTTTCCTAACTTTTCTTTGATGTTGCATCATTAAAATCTCATGGTAACCTCTGTTACCTTCGAGATCTTACCGGCAGTTGTTGTTTCATGGCAAAATGATTTAACAGCAGGTTAATGCTTAACCAAGTTTAATTCTCATCCCTGCGGAACTAACGTGTGCGTGCCGTCATTTCTCAACTCAATCAAAACTTTTAAAAAAAGGTTGTGACATTTTTTTAAGTAGATAGGAAAACTCTCTTATTGCTTTAATATAAGCACGGTCATCATGTAAATTTGTCTTTTGTTTCGTTTTCTTTGTTTTAATATGCTGTCTAATGCTGCAAATCACACTAAGTGAGTTTAGGCAAAATAATATGCTTGTTAAAACTAAGGTAAATGGCAATTTTACAGGTTATTGTTCTTATAGTAAAAACAGAGGTGGAAATGTCAAACACATGCAGCTTTAGGCAGAGATACGCTTCATAAAGAAGATTAGGCGTTTAGATTAGACACAGTCAATTAAATGCACTTTAAATGCTATTATTAATGCAAATGCACAATCCTTCTGGCAGATGTACAATGTGAAGAATACGTTCTCTATGGCTGTAAAAGAAAAACAATGAAAGGGTGTTATTCATTAGGATGCCAGTAAATTCTGTTCGAATGATTTTCAGTGTTTACAGCTTTATCAAAGAGCAAAAACAGGCATAAGCCTTGACAAGTCATTTCAGCTATATGTATTGGAAAAAACACAACAAGAAAGCATTGTGATGTAAATACAAGGAAGGTGAATCACGTAAAATAAAAACCTGAAAAGGGGTAGTTCACCCCAAAATGAAAATCTGTAATCCAGGCTGTAGATGAGTTTAGCATTGGATCACTTGTTCAACAATGTATCCTCTGCAGTGTATGGGTGCCGTCAGAATGAGAGCGCAAACAGCTGATAAAAACATCACAATAATCCACAAGTAATAATCCAGTGAAAAAAGTCCATCGCTTGTTGTCCTCTATCAAAATCCATCAAAATATTTGTTTAAAACGGTGCTTGATCTGTGCATATTTTTCTGTTGATTCAGATTACTTTTTCACTGGAGGAAACAATATTGTGGACACAGGACTTCAGGACTTAATGATGTACGGTAGTTAGATGTACAAACATGCAGCTTTTCACTTCACAAGATGTTAATTGATGAATTGGAGTGCTGAGGATTACTTGTGGATTATTGGGATGTTTTTATCAGCTGTTTGGACTCTCATTCTGACGGCACCCATTCACTGCAGAGGATCCATTGTTGACCAAGTGATGTAATGCTAAATTTCTCCAAATCTGTTCAGATGAAAATACAAACTCCTCTATATTTTGGATGGTTTGAGGGTGAGTGCATTTTCAGCAAATCATTTTCATTTTTTGGTGAGCTATTCCTTTAAGTTCCAGCAATGAATCTTTAGAAACAACAGATGTTGTGTGTGCCAGTCATTTACTCTGATGGGAGTTTAATATTTTGTCTGTGCGCAGTCTGTTTTATCTCCTTTGCATTTGCTAGATTTTGAATGAGCTGCACATTAAATGCATTTTTCTAAACTTTGGGAAAGCACAACATCAAAGCACTGACACATTCTAAAATGTAAATGTTTTGATATAAACAAAGTAGAGATGTACAAATATTTAACGATAAATGAGGTACTAGCAACCCCAAGGCTCAGTTTTCAGGGAATGCAAGAGCTGATAAAAATGTATACTTTGCATGCATTGTAAATAACTTTGGATGAAAGCATCTGGTAAATGCATAAAAACCAATAGACTGGTGGGGATTGCTGAAACCTTCAACCTGCAAGAGTATCACCGCAGGTGACAGAGTTCAGTACGGAGACATAGTGAGATTCTCATTTATCCATACATGACGGAGAGACTTAGTCAGAGAAAGATCTTTTTCATGGTAAATTTCTTCTTAAATGAAATCCAGATGGGACTTGTAATTAAATTAAAGTCATTTGCACTCTTTGTATGGTGGAAGTTAATCATCATTAAAGCTCCAGTATAAAATATAAGTGAAACACACTATTTTATGACAAAACCAAACTATTGTGACCAGTCAGACCTAAGAAAAAAAAAAGGGAAGAAAAAAATCAAAACCGTGTTCAAATTAATCTAATTTGATATATTTTGTAATAATTTGTTTGTATGGTGGAAGTTCATCATCATCAGAACTGCACAAGTATAAAATTAAATAAAATAAAAAACTGAGACATTAAATTTACTAGTGTTAAAATTAAATTAATTTGATATTTATATTATACTGTAATTTATTTGTATGGTGGTAAGTCATCATCAGAACTCCACAAGTATAAAATAGAATTAAATAAAAAACTGAGACATTAAATATAGTGTTCAAATTAAATTAATTTGATATTTTTATTATAATTTATTTGTATGGTGGAAGTCATCATCATCAGAGCTCCACAAGTATAAAATATAAATGTTTTTTTTTTTTTTTTTGGCTAAAGCAAACT